GGGGAAGAATTCAGTGAAGTGCAGGGAAGGAGGGTGGTAGAAACTGTAGGGCGAGAGAGGGAGGTGGGAGGGTTGGGCTGGCTGGCAGGGCAGTGATAAAGAACATGCAGAATAAACATTTGCAAGTCCCCTGAAGTTGCTCAAAGACTGAGCAAAAAGATAAAAGGATGGGCAAAAGTGTAGACCCAGGATGATAAACATGCCTGGAGCCAGTGGAGAAACTGATAAGGAAGATAAAGAAACAGTATTTTTGGGGCAAATTCTATAACAAGATGAGAGAACATATAGCCAAAGGAAAAGTTCAAGGCAATGTCATCTTTAATATCACAGCACTCAGTGAATACGACCACCAGAGACCCCTCTGAATGATCCTTCTAGGAGCATGAAAGGACAGACAGTAGGAAGAAGATGCATGGAAATGAGTTCAAGGAAAATAGTGTTTATGTACTTGATAAGAAGGACATTTAATGACTATGTGTGGTTATAATGCATAAAACCGCTGCTGTAAAGTCTCAGTGATAAATCAAGGACCCTTAGCCACTGTCCTGGTGTCCTTCGTCAGTGCAGTGGAAGGGATCAACAGGCTGGGAATGCTGAGTCCATGGTGGCAATATTGCTGCTGGCAGTGTTGACTTTCAGCTTCTCAAAGACCCTCTGGAAGAAGAGTCACAGGGATATGGAGTGGTGTCCCATCCTCATGGTGTCCTGAGAAACCCCACCCAGAAGTAGAGGAAGGATTTGATGCTGCTCTGGATGCAGGTGAACAGAAAAAGCACCAGAGAGGACACAGGAAATTCACCATTAGAATGACAGCAGTGACAACACAGAGAAAGGCCCAGTGCAGGGGTCTTATCATCACCCTCAGCTGGTGCTGGTATGGGTGGAAGTGGTACCAGAGTCTGAATTCAATGGGCCAGTACCTCTCGATGCTGATGAGCATCAGTCAGAACAGATCTGTCTGGCAGGAGAACAGTGACAGCAGGAAAAGCGAGCTCAAATACATGGGGGGAACCAAAGGGGAGCAGAACACGTCATTCACCAGTAGGGCAGGGTGGAGGGGACTGTGAAGAGGAGGAAGAGCAAGTGGGCAGCAGTCAGGTCGGCCAGCAAGTCAGTGCAATGGCTGCTGCTGAATGGACAGAGGCCAACCCCGTTGCCAGCCAGCCCACAGAGGCAGATGAGCAGTGTCACACTGTGTATGGCCACGTTGGTGACATCTATCTCACAGAGATCGTCCCCTTCAGTGGGTGAGGCAGGAGATGGGAACACGGTGGTCACCTCCATGGATGGACACTGGGCAGGCAGTGGGATGTGGTCCCTGGCTGTGGTCAGAGTGGATGGCAGTCAGTGCTTGGAGAATCCCGGGATGGACCACACAGCTCCTCAGCATCTCCCTGCAGTGGGAAGGATTGAGTGGGGAGGAGTGAGATGTGCAGGGGAGGAGGGTGGTGGAAATGGTGGGGTGTGAGAGGGAAATGGGAGGGTTGGGCTGTTCAGCAGGGGATGGGGAAGGAAAGGACAGGGCAGAGGAGGGGGCACATTTGGAGAGCACTGAGGTCACCAGGAGAGGGTGGCAGGAACAGAGCAGCTGCTGGAGGAGAGGAAGGTGGGGGAGGGAGGAAGGAAAACATTGCACTGACCTGTTCACTGTGGGGCAGCAGCAGGCAAAGGGGGTCTGTGCAGATCAG